CAGTTGGGGAACCAAGATTCCCACATGCCACGCAGTGCATGGCCAGGGGAAAAAAACCTTTCTGACTGACCTGATGTCCAATTTAAAACCAGAATCGATCCGTATCCTGCCTTCCCTGCCCTGCCCTCTTTTGCTTCATGACAATTATCTGACAAGACATATATTTACTGGTCTGCCTCTGTGTGTATCCTCCCATAGATATCCCCCAGGAGAGCAGTGATTATGTCCTGCCTTGTTCACTTCATATCCCCAGTGTCTGGTACACAGTAAATTCTTAATCAATATTTGAAGGATAAATCCAGTTGCTTGGATCCAAGTGAATTGGAAGCTGGTGCATGAGTGGAGCCCAGAAATCTGTATTTTAAAAACACACCCCAAGTGCAGGTAGGGTGGAGAAGCCCTATCCCAGAACATCAGCAGTAAAGAAACCCAGGAATATTCTGCCAAGTCCAGCCCTCTCATGTCATGATGAAGTCACCAAGGCCAGAGGTGGGGAGGAGGGGCCCCAGATCCCAGGGTGAGGGGGTGCAGAGGGGAAACTCAAACTTCAGTATTGGAAGGCCAGCACAGGGCTCTCTCTGCAGCTCGTCGGCCTGGTCCTCGTCAGTCTGGCTTCCGGGGAATCGCTGAGTCTGAGGCTCGGGGCACAGTGTGGTCTCCAGCTCAGGTGGCGGCGGGCAAACTCGGACCTGTCTTTGCTCAAACTAACCTAGTGGTGAAGTTGTCAGTGTTAAAGTTCAAGAGCTGATCCTACCTTTTGACATGATTAACCCATTTTTTAAAAAATTTAAGACTGTAACAAGTATTAACAAATGAAACTGAAACTTTAGTCTTAGAGTCAAGTTCTGAGGGGGCTGGCAGGCATAATTTGGGTAGGCCTTCCAAGACCCTGGAGGAGGGGAAGTTTCAAAAATGTTTGGAGGCCTCTTTACCTGGTTCTAGAATTTCCCAAACCTGGATCACTCAGGGCACTTGGGAAAAACATAGGTTCCTGCTGCTGCCCAGATGTTGGGTTCAGTGTGGCTCAGATCAGGCTTAGGAATTTGGATTTTTAAGGCATTCTTATGCTCTGTAAACTTGAGAAGCTTGGCCTGTCCAGCGCCAGTAGCCTGTGGAGTAATGAACCTCATAAGGCAATGAGGTCTGGTGTCAGGCACTCCCTCATTCCCAATCTGTTTAGAAACAGAAAAACCCAATCCTAACTTACTCAAGCAAACACTAGTCTGTCTACAAATCCCAGGAGACTCTTGTGCTTGTCAAATGCACCTTGGGGAATTTGTATTCTAGTGCTTCAAAGAATGGCTTGGGCACCTTTATGACTCAAGAGTCATTGGAAGATCCATCCTAGCCGGATTATTTGAATGTGCAGAGGTTGCCGGGAAATGGCCCCAGGGGAGCAGGTGTTGTGTGGGCTTTTTTTGGCTGCACTTGGTCTGCGTTGCTCCGTGTGGGCGTCTCATTACCCTGGCTTTTGTTGCAGAGCACGGGCTCTAGGGTGCATGGGCTTCAGTAATTGTGGCATATGGGCTTAGTTGCCCTGCAGCATGTGGCATCTTCCCTGACCAGGGATCGAACCTGTGTCTCCTGCATTGGCAGGTGGATTCTTAACCACTGGACCACCAGGGAAGTCCTGGTGCTAGGCTTTGTGGGAAGACCAGCTTAACTAGTTTCTAGAGTGATGAACAGAGGCCAAGGGATGCCTGTGTCCTGCAGCTCATGCTGATCGTGACTCTACTGCAGGGGCCATCCCACGTTTACGCACATAGAGCTCCTGGTCACACACATACCTCCAAGAACACACGTTTACACAGAGAAGAGAGAAACCCTAAACCTCTTCCAGACAAACACTGTTTCCTGCTTCCCTCCTCCAACCCACTGTTCCAGCCCTGCCAGTTCTCACTAAGGACAATTCTGAGTAGCTTCTGCTGAAAGTCCTTCAATAGCTACCCCCCAGCCCCCACACATACTCCAGGTTTGATATTCTAATGCACTCTGGTTTGACATTCAGGGCTGCAGGATAGGACTCCTCCCCTGTGGAAGATAGAATAATGACCTCCCGCCCCAGGAAAGATGTCACCAATCTAATTCCTGGAAACTGTGAATGTGATAGATGGCAAAACAGACTTTATAGATGAGATTAAAGACTTTGAGAGGAGGAAACTATCCTGGACACAGATCCTTCTAAGTGGAGAACTTTTCCTGGCTGTGCTTAGAGAGATGTGATGGTGGAAAAAGGATCAGAGCTGTGATGTCACTGGCTTTGAAGAGAGAGGCCAAGAGTCAAAAAATGCAGGGAGCCTCTAAAGGTAGAAAAGACAAGGACATAGATTCTCCCCTAGAGCCTCCAGAAATGCAATCCTCTAGACATCTAATTTTACCCCAGTGAGACCCGTGATGGACTTCTACTGAACTTTAAGATAACAAATGTGTATATCTTTAAGAGACTACAGTTGTGATAATTTATGATGGCAATAGAAATCGAATACATTCCCCACTGAATCTTCCTCCAGCTAGCTGGTCTCTGGCCATTCTTACCCCAGACACCATGGGCTGTCCTCCTTCCCTACCTTTGCTCACGCTGTTAGCACCTATTAACAACTGCCTTTCATGCTAAACTGTCCTTAGCATCGACCACCTGCTACCAGCATCCACCTTTCTGCCTGATCACTCCATGGGCTCCCCACTAGACCATAAACTCCTTGATTTGTTTCCCTCTGATTCCACAACCAGGAGTGGTCCACAGAGGTTGGCATAGTGGACCTGGTATGCTTATGTGGAACCTCTGGTTCTTGGCCCTAACTGCAAGGCCACCTGGAGATCTTAAAAATCTCAGTTCTACCAAATCACTGTGGAAGAATGGAAGACAGCTTCATGTGTGTTATTGGGAGATTTCCAAGAGTTAGGTTGAAAAAAGTAGAGCTGAAGAGTAAGTAACATATTTTACCTTGTGTGAGGGGGAAAATTTTATATAATTTTTTAAAAAAATTGACTATCTTTGGAAAGATATGGAAAATAGGTGAAGAGTACAAAGCACCCTGAAACTTTCTGAATTCTGCACCATATATATGTATTACTTATTTACACACAAAAATAAATGTTTAAAATTCAAAAGACTGATTCTTGTGGTATGGTCAGAAAAAGAGCCAGGATGTCCCAGTTGGGAGACAGGAATCTGTGTCTAAAGCACTGTCTGCCAGTTTATTCCAAGTCAGGAACTGAATCGTCAGAAGAGGGCAGAGCCAAGATGCCAATGATATTTGAAAGCATAATCTTAAAATGCACTTAATCAGAAAAATAGAAAGCTCTCTAAGGGATTGTGAAGCCAGGTTTGGAAACCACTGATCTAATTCCCTCTGTGCATTTTATGGATCAGGAAAGACAGGGAGGATCATTTGCCCAAAGCCACACAGCCAGCCAGAGGCACAGGCCAGTGTCCCAGGAATGTTTGATCATGACAATGGCATAGGTTCCCAACCTCTGCCCACCCTTCATACAAAGACTTTTCCCTTAGAAGACCCTGCGGACTCATGGGCAGGAGGACAGGAAGAGAGAAGAAAACACCGTCTTTAATCAACCCACCTGCACAAAAACCAGGGCAACACTCCCTGCCTTGCAAGGTCCCAGTGAGACGAAAAGCTGGTCTCCTTGAGAAAAAAAACCATCTTATAAAAACAAAAGGCTTCAAAGCACCAGTGGCTAAACCCGCTGAGTAGAAAAGGGGTTCAGGGGGAGATGACAGCTGGCTGGGGGTGGGAGAAGAGAGGGCTGGAGGCAGAAGTTGGCCCAGAGGCAAAGCAGCAGCCAGGCCGGAGGGAACCGTCACCCTCTTGAGCTGCACCGGTAGCTGATCGGGCTGACCTCAGGTTCTGCAGTGACCAGAGAAATGCCCAGGGCTGGCCCTTCAGCAGAGACCTGCACATGAGATACTGGGGTGGGGTCTGAGTTCAGGTTATCTCGGCCTGAGACAGGAGGGGATGGCGGATCAGAGTGTGGACAGCGAGGAATGGTCTCCATGGAGGGGCTCAGGTGTACAACCGTCTGTACTTCCATCTGGTTCCCCCAGGCCTCCCACCCTCCTTCGCAAGCCAGGGCTCCTCCTGTTTCACAAACTGGAAGCTGAGGCCCGATCCTCCTGCCCTCAGATTCACCAGCCAGCACACGGGATGCAGGGTCCTCAGAGGTGTCTGAGGAGGGAGGTGAGGAGACTGAGCCCTTATGTCGACTTGCTCTTAAGGAAGAGTGCTGGCCCTCCAGAACCCCCTCCCCGATGGCACCCCCCTCCATTCTGCCTCTCCGGAACAACTTCTGGGCTTATTAGAGGGTGCTTCTGGACACCGGCGCGATCATGAACGCTGGTGATCTTTCAACACTGGTGACCAGGAAGCACAGATGAGCCCTTTTCTATGCTGGAGCCACTGATCTTTCATCAGATGAAGTGGATGGCGTCCTTAGAGGTTGGCAGAGTTGCTGAGGGGGTGAGGGGTCATGTGTGCAGCAGGCTCAGGTACCTGTGAGGGAGTGGGGCAATGGGGTAATGTCCCTCCTTTGGTAGAGAAAGCTCGAAAGCTTTGCCAAGGGTGGGCAGAGGCTGAGTCTAAGAAGGCTTCCCTGTAGGTCAGGCTGAATGCAGGGCTCTGGGATCCGTCCATCCCATTCCCAACAAGAGAACGGGTATATTGCTTTAAGAGAGGCGTTGGCAAGTGGTGGCAGTGGTATGTGAGCATGGTGTATGTCATATGGTTTCTAGAGTGTCCAAGTTGGAAGGGAGCTTGGAAATGGAATTCAGAGACTGGACACTGGATTTTGGAGTCTGAAACTACAGATGATATACTGTGTTCAAGTCCTGCCTCCACCAAAAACGCAGCTGTGTGACCTCAAGTAAATCGCTTTACATCTCTGGGACTCAGTTTCCATATCTGCAAAATGGGGATTATAGTAAAATCCCAGTACAGTCCAGGGAATTGAGAGTCAAATGAAAAGGCTAGAAAGAGCTCCATTTACTAAGGGATTATTTTAATTATTTGAGGCGAGAAGCTAAGGCCCAGAGAAGACAAGGGCTTTGCCAGATGTCACACAGAGTTAGTGATGGAGCTGCGATTAGAACCCAGGACTCCTCCTCTTCATAGTTCGGGGGAACTTTCCCCAGGGCTGGTGAATAAATGTGGTGAGATGGTGTGTGTGTTTCTCCTGCCCTCTCCCTCTGGACAGGGGACAGGATGCTGGGGGAAGAAGGGAGAAAGGGGAGTCTGGAGAAGGGCGGGGGTGGGGTGTGGGGTCGCCAGCACACGTCAAGGCCGAGGTTAAAAAAAATACAAACCCCGCGATTCTCCCCGCCCCACCCCTCAAGTCCAGGCTGCTAAGGGCCAAGTCCAAGTCGGCTTCAGACCCAGATCCCGCCGGCTCAGGCTGCAGTCAGTCAGGGAGCCGCCAGGGGGCGCGCCTGCCATCTTGGCCAGAGCTCGCGGCAGCGGCGGTCAGTCTAGCCGCGGGGGTGGGCGTGGGGCAAACGCTACCCAGACCTGCAAGAAAACAAAAATCGATTAGGGAAGCGGACCTCTGAATAGGGAGGCGGAGAGATCCGCCTGCTCCCTCCTCCCCTTCTTTCTCCTACGCTAATGCCGGGGTCCCTCCACCCCACACGGCTCCGCGCCATGACCCACGTGTACAGGGGCTGCAGTTGTAAATGCGACGTCTTCTGGGGCGCCTGGTATCCGTAGGAGTCAAAACCGCCGATGAAATCGACTGCGGAAGGGGAGATGGCACGTGGTTAGAGATGGGCCTGTGGAGAGGCGAGGTGATGGGAGGCAGGGTCCTGAAAGGGAGGAATCTGAGACCAGATCCAGTACAGGGCCTGAGGGGTTGAGCTTTGCTGTAGCATCTCGAGGGACTGGCCAAGGCCTGAGATAGAGAGCTGGAGCGTAGATGCGGAGGGCTGTCGTTTAAGGAGGAGGCTGAGGGTTGGGGGTGGGGGAACTCGAGCAGGGAGGCAAGACCTTCCGAAGGGTGGGAGTAGGACGAACTGGGAACGGGTGGTGCTTGACAGGATGGGGGCTATGGACCCCTCCGAGGGGACAGGACGGGGCCTAAGGGGCGGGTAGTGGGGCAGGGCCTTGGCTTGGGGACCGGGACGTCTGGTCCTCATCCGGAATGGGCCGGCTATGCAGATCCCCACCCAGCCTACTGTCTCTTCTTCCCCAGCCCCAAGAGGGGCCCCTTAACTGACCCAGGGCTCCCTCCCGCTTGGGCCCCTGTCCAGGGTGCTGTCGGTGTGGGGTCCCCACTTCCCTAGGGGCTCCGCACTCACAGCTGTCCTCCTCTTCCAGGAATACTTTGCTCACGTAGCAGGCGAACACGAAGCCGAACAGCTGCGGGAGGACACAGCATCAGAAAGGGAGGGAGGAGTGGGAAGCTCTTTCTTCAACCCCTGCCCAGCCCTGCCCACCCTGGCTGGAGGGGCCAAATGTGCTGAGAGGAAGGCAAACCCGTTAACAACTTCAAGTTTAATGACTGTGCCTTAAACTTAATACCCTTAGTTCTGTTCTCTGTTCTGGGTGTGACTTTGAACAAGTAATTATTTTACCTCTTTGCTTCTCCAGTTGGACCTGGGAGATATCTTACTGGCTTGTTAAGAGGAAAGAGGGTTATGTAACTTTGTGTGTGTGAAGTGCCAAGGGCAGGGTTGGGATGGGCAGGGGGACAGAAACTCACAGCCAAGAAGATCTGCAGGGCACTGCTAAGTGCTTCAATGTAGGGATAGTCGAGCAGGCAGCCGGTGACTGAGATGACATGGTGGTCCTCCAGGGCCAGGCGGGAGTTCAGGACAGGTGTCACCAGGCAGCCTGGCCCATTCTCCATCCACCAGGAGCGGTGCAGGGATGTGTTGAAGGTCATGATGAAGTCCCGGTCCTAGGGGCAGAGGGGCCTAGGATACTGAGCTGGGGGGAGGGTGGAGATCCTTCCAGGCGCCAGGTTTACTTCACACCTGGGTTATAACAGCTTCCCTTCCTGGCGTGATTTGTGAGGTTATGGTCTGTATCTGCAAGTCTAGAGTTGGCCAGTAGGTGGCGCTAGATGATCATGCCGGGCTGCTACAGCCCCGCAGGAGCCTCAGAATTTCAGGGCTGGAAAGGGTATTAATGGTGATTGGTTTCCCTTTTCCAGCTGTTAGTGAAATCCCCAACACAGACCTTCACAGCTCACTCAAGCTCTCCACTGCCCCCTGTGTGTGACCCCGGGCAAACCTCTCCTCTCTTTAGTCCTGTTTCCTCTTTTGAAATGGAGAAGAAGGCCATTTCCTTCCTTTTGAAATGGCCTAGATCAGTTCTTACCCGCATGTGCATCTATGTGTTCCTCCATCCATTCACTCATATGGTCCACTAACAAATATTCACTGCATACTGACTGGGCGCCAAGCACTGAGATGTGCGATCTCCCTCCGCAACTACATGAAACTGGAATTTCTATTAACTGCACTTATTAGATGAGGAAACTGATGCTCAGAGAGAGTAAGCCACCTGCCCAGGGTCACACAGCTAGGAAATGTTTAAGCTGGGGTTTAAATCTAGCAGAAGTAGGAAGCCAAGTGCTCTCATTCATATATTTTGCCTCCTTTCTTTTTAAAACTAGGAGCTGTGCCCTCTGGGTTTGTTCTCGAAGTTATATACTCCCTCTTTCTTCAACAGTTCTCCATGTGACATGGTCGGTTCAGTTTTTCCAGAATAGACTCTACCCTCTCTTTCTCATCTGAAAAATATCTATCAGAATTGGACTCAAATCTTTGCAGTCTAGGCCATACAAAGCATGTTGCATTTTCACCTCTTTTGCACTGAACATGTGTGGAGCCTAAGAGAAGTTTTCTGGGTCATGACATATTGATGGTTTCTTCTGAGGCTGTGATCAACTGGAACCCCAACCCATCTTCATCAGACTGCCTTTCAGCTTCATCATTTGTTTTTGAGAAGTACAGAGGAGGCCAAAAATGAAAATGTAGGGGTGGAGGGGGAGCACAGATTACTCCAGTGTGTAGAGAGCGTTCTCTTTAAGAGATGACACTCCAGACCCACACCACAGGAGCCCTCGGGGCAGGGGATGCCAGGCTTTGCCCTCTGACAATGCCAGGCCCGAGGCTTACCTGGGACAGCTGTCCAACCTCCAAATAGAAGCAGATGATAAATGCATTCCAGCCAACCCAGAGCACCAGCCAGGCTGCATACTGGGGAAAGCAAAGTGGGGGGGGGGGGGGCCGCCGGGGCGGGGCCTGGGGGAGTGGAGAGGGGGCGGGTCAGTGGACCAAAGAGACCTCTGCAGGGGAAACTATGACAGCGCCTCACTCAGACAGCACTTCTCAGTTTATAAATCATCTTCCAACCAGGCTCCCTTATGAGAGCCCTGCAGGGAAAGCACTGTCTTTCTCTTTAAAGCTAAGCTAAGGCTCAGAGAGGAGATTTACTTTTTCCAAGATCACACAGCTAGGAAGAGGTAGGGCTGGCATGCAAAACCAAGTTCTCTGGTAGGTAATCCTAGCCACTCTGGGAAAGTGAAAGTGAAGTCGCTCAGTCGTGTCCGACTCTTTGCAGCCCCATGAATTGTAGCCTACCATGTTCCTCCGTCCATGGGATTTTCCAAGTAAGAGTACTGGAGTGGGTTGCCATTTCCTTCTCCAGAGGATCTTCCCGACCCAGGGAATCGAACCCGGGTCTCCCGCATTGCAGGCAGACGCTTTACTGCCTGAGCCACCGTGGAAGCCTGCAGAGAACCGCAGACATCAACCAGACGGCATCCCACACGTGGCAAAGACGGCATCCCTCACGTGACAAAGGCAGCATCCCTCACGTGGCAAAGACGGCATCCCTCACGTGGCAAAGACGAAATCCCACACGAGGCAAAGACGGCATCCCTCACGTGGCAAAGAATTAGGGAGGAGCTCGATGTTGCCGTTTAGTCTCTAAGTCGTGTCTGACTCTTTTGTGAGCCCATGGTCTGTAGCCTCCCAGGCTCCTCTGTCCATGGGATTTTTCAAGAATACTGGAGTGGGTTGCCATTTCCTCCTCCAGGGGATTTTCCCAACCCAGGGATCGAACCCACCTCTCTTACATATTCTGCATTGGCAGGCGGGCTCTTTTACCACTGAGCCAGCTGGGAAGCCCGAGGAGCTGGATGATTTCCACCCAAATCCTATGCCTGTGATTCTAATGGCGGCCTCCTGGCAGAAGTGCTGTTTACAGAGGTGCCTGGGGCGTTCCTGAGGACTGGAGAGAAGAGTCCTCTTAGGTGAGGGAGCGCTTTGGAAGGGCCCTGTTCACCTCTGGAACTGAGCCTGTGGGAGGTGGGGAAACTCACCCTAGAATGAGGGTGCGTGGGCTCAGGGGTGGGAGAGGCATGAGATTACATGTCATCGGTATTTGAGGTGTCTGGCATTTATGAAGCAAACCTACCAAAGAGCCTCTTCCCTCAAGAGACGTGTGTGAATGGGTCACTGAGGAAGAGCAGCGGATGAGGATGAGACTAGCTGAAAACAGGAGTTTGATCTTCAAGGACCAGGGCTTGGAAGAGGAAGTAGGCGGAGGGAGCCAGGGATACAGAGCATTCCTGGGACTGGGCGCAGGAGGCACTGGCCTCAAAATCACACAAGCCTCTCGACCACATGCTTGATGAACATCAGGGGACAAGAGCCAAGCCTTCCTGAAGCAACTTGAGAAACCAGACCAGACCAAAAGCATCTCACACAGACCAACTGGGGCAGTGTGGGGATGCAGCAGGAGCCTTCGCTCTGGAAGTGATGCTCTAACCCTGCCACTTATTAGCTGTGTGACTTAAGGAGGCCTCGTCACCTTTCTGAGCCTCATGTCCTCATCTGGAAAATGAAGACAGTAAGATATACCTCGCAGGGCTGTCATAAAGGTAAGTGAAGCTAGTGAAACTCTTGGCATGTGTCTGGCACACGGGAAAGTGAAGTATGAAAGTGAAAGTTGCTCAGTTGTGTCTGACTCTTTGCAACCCCATGGATAGTCCATGGAATTCTCCAGGCCAGAATACTAGAATGGGTAGCCTATCCCTTCTCCAGCAGATCTTCCCAACCCAGGGATCGAACCCAGATCTCCTGCATTGCAGGCAGATTCCTGACCAGCTGAGCCACAAGGGAAGCCCAAGAATACTGGAGTGGGTAGCCTATCCCTTCTACAGGGGATCTTCCCAACCCAGGAATCAAACCGGGGTCTCCTGCATTGCAGGGGGATTCTTTACCAACTGAGCTATCAGGAAAGCTCTGGCACATGAGAGGCACTCACTCAATGATAGATCTGGTTAATAGTTGGACTTTTCTGTAGAAAATTCTTTAGGAAAGTACTAATCTTGTCTCCACTGAGCAAAGAAGCACTGGGATTTGGATATCACCAGCCAGGCTGGAGCCAAGACTCAGGCAGGGGTCTAGGTGCCCTGGGTTGGGGGACAGCTCTGGCTGGAGAATGAGGTAGAAATGGATGGGGATGAGAAAGAAGGAGTTGGTTTGGGGAGGGGCCGAGTGAGCCATACCAGGATGAGGTACCGGGAGCGGTACTGCACGGTGCCAAAGATGCCCAGGATAACTGCCATGATGTGCAGGAAGTTGGCAAGGATCGGAGCCCACTGGTAGCCCAGGAAGTCAAAGATCTGCCGCTCCAGCGCAGCCACCTGTGGGAAAGAGCAGGCTGAGGCCACATCACCCCCTAAAGGAGGAAGACCGGGACTCCTACTCAGCCTTGTGGAGCAGGGGACACCAGTTATCAGGGTGATGAGGCACCATGACCTGACTGTACACATGCCTCAAGGCCACCCCAGCCCTGTAGGACCCAAGGGGATGCTGGGAGGTGAGGACAAATTGGTGAGAATGCGAGGGGGATGGAGCCCTGGCGATCACTTTGGGGTGGGCTAGTGGGAGACGGGAGCCAGGGTTCAGAACACCTTCCATCCTGCCAAGAAGCCTCCCCACCTGGCACCTGTAGCTCCCCTGGGGGGTGGGTCTCAGCCAGTGGAGTCAGGATTCAGACTGGCTCCCTCAGCACTGGTCTAGGGATGAGCCATGGCCCTAGAGGGCCCAGGGGAGCCTGTAGGACTGAGTCTCCTCTTTTAAGGACCCCTCTCTGGAGGTTGTCCTGGCCCAGGGAACCCACGGGCTGCAGAGAAAGGGATTGTCCCCCCCCCCTCTTTCTCCTCCTGCTTCCACACTAACTTTGTGCTCTTTGGCAGTGCCTTCCCACACAAATGCTTGTGTTCAGTCATATGACTTGCTTCATTCAATGAGATTTGAGCAAAGAGGAAGCAGGTGAAAAAGCTTGAAAAATGCCGGTGCATTGGAGCTTGCCCACTTTTTACACTTGTAACATAGAGAACACCTTTTGAAAGAGCTCAGGCTGACCTTCAGGAGGACAAGAGGGCATGGGGAAAAGAGCGAAGGCATCTGAGCTGACAGCGAATCAACCATTAACACACATGAGCGAGGCCATCCTAGATCACTCAGATGCTAGCCAACCCACCAACAGACCAAAGACATGTCACTAGACCAAAGAACCTCCAGCTGACCCACAAAATGGTGAGCTAAATCAAGTGGCTGTTTTATTTTTTGTTTTTATTGCTATTTTTGAATTTTCAGCCATGTCGTGCAGCTTGTGGGATCTTAGTTCCCTGAATCAGGGATTAAACCTGGGCCCATGGCAGTCAAAGCCCTGAGTCTTAACCACTGGACTGCCAGGGAACTCCCTAAAATGGTTGTTTTTGCACCACTACATTTTGGGGGGATTTGTTATGCAGCAGGAGGTAACGGATATAGGACTCGATCAACAGTCCCTTTCCAGTAGCCCCTGATTCAAACTTTCAGCTGATACACTTAGGAACAAAGATCCCAGGGATACCAATGGTTATTGACCGTCCCATATCCCTCCTTCTGTTGACAGAACCTATCTCTTTGTTTTGGAAACTGCCTCCCAGACCCTCAGTCCATGCACTAATTTCTGCGGTGGGCTTGGGACCCAAGTCTAACTAAATAAGCAGCACACAGTGATCTGCTCAGGGAAGGACTCTCTCTGCGCTCTGCCCCTGAGAGTTGCCTGGATATTTGCTGGGCATCAGGACAGAGATGCTGCCTGTCCACCAAGATACCTGGATGGGTGTAGTGTCAGCTGAGAGCTCCTGGGGACTGTCTTTGTCAGCAGGCCGCTTGAGGAGGAAGCCAGAGCTAAGGGACAGAGTGAGGAAAGAAGAGTGAACATGCCAAGGGGAGGGTCTGAGGATCTAGCCACAACTAAACGAGTTATCCCTCCTTGTACTGATTTCTGTCACTTATACCCAAGAGTCCTGACTACATAGAAGGAGAGAGAAGAGAGTCTGTCTAGGTAGGGAGAGAAGATCCTAATAAAATAAGATCCCAGAAGGCTTTTTCCTGGCCAGGAGGCAGGAGGAGGTGGAGGTGATGGTACCACACAGATGGTAAAGCTTGGGCAGAGGCCCAGGAAGCTGCAGGCCCAACCCTGGCATCCATTGACCTGGCACCGGCCTGCCTCTTGCTGGTGACTCCCCTCCCAGCGCTCTGCAGGTTGTAAAGAGCTTTCCAAGTTCACCTCTCATTGGATACTTCTTGGCAGAAAGGCACCGCTGAGATCATTACCTCAGAGGAAAGCAACAGTGAGGCTCAGAGAGAGGAAGTGACTTGCCCAAGGTCACACAGCAGGTTGGTGGCAGAGCCAGGCAGACATTTTGCCTTTCTCTGCCTTCTGTCCCATCTTAGCACCAACACGCCACCTTTCCCGGTTGGCACTGGCTCGGGAGTTTAGACATGTGGTTTCTGGTTGAGGTTCTAACACTGACTCCTGGTTTACTTGGGCAGACTACCTTCTCTGTGGGTCTTGGGCTCCTCTTCCATATACAAAGGCTGCCAGACTAAATAAGGGCCCTTCTGGTCTTGAATCCAGTGGCCTGCTCCCAAAGCTCCTGCCCCAATTCTGTTCTCCTTTCTACCCTGACTCTGCAAGGCTCTGAGGAGCACTGGTGGTTTGAGGTCCAGCTGGGTGCTCTAGACTCAGCTGGCATGGGATCCTAGAAATGACGTTGTGACAGGGTTGCCCAGGCTCATAGTGTAGCTGGGGAGACACCCTGCCTGGACACAACTACCTAAACCTGACATCACCCACACCCCCACTCTGGCCCTTGCTCAAAACCCTTGTGTTCTCAGGGACCTCACTGATGGAGTGAGCAGCAGTCAACTCAGGTTCAAAGTGCAGTTCTGCTGTGTGACTCAGGACAAATTACTTCCCCTCACTGAGCCTATTTCTTTAATTATAAATGGGGAAGACAGTAATTCCCCTAGGAAGTTGTGAGGATATGGAGACATCACATAAACTATTAGACTTAATATATGGGAGTTAATTAACAGAAGACCTAACAGTCAAAGCTTCTTAGTTGGGCTTTGAAGGCTGCTAGGATCTGGCTCAATTCTTTATTCCGGGTCAGTTTCTGCCCCCAAGCAGCTGAAATAACAGTTGAGGTTCCACTATCATTTCCCTTTTCCTATACCCAAGTCCTCATTTTTCAAAATATAGCACAATTTTCTCCTTCCCTAGCAAGACTTCCTGCCTGGCCCAAAGGGATCTCTCTTTCCACTGAATATGGAACACTAGCTGTCCAACACTCACCCACTCATTCATCAAAACCCCATCCACATCCATTTGTTCATCCCTCCGACATCTGACATGCCCTCATCCATCCAGGGCCCATCATTTATTTATTCACAGAACGTTTAGTCTGTGTCAGGCCCCATGCTGACGCGGCGATGCTGAAGTGAATATGTTGTAGCCCCTGCCCTTTGGGAACTCAGAGCCTAGGCAGGGAGATGGATGGAAAACCGGACGTTACAGACCATTGTGATCAGCGTGATAACCCAGGCCTGAATGATGCTGCCTCTTCTGCTGAAGGTGAGTGCAGAGATCAACTTAAATAAATAAAAATTTTAATTGAGATTCCACGTCTTATATATAATCCCAATTCTAAAGTTGTTGTTTTTTACTCGAAAACTGAGTCAAAATACTCCAGAACTCCTGCTTCCGCAGCACTGATATGCAACTAATTAACAACAAAAGATAAGAACAAAAAACAGGAGGAGTATCTCCCCATCTGGTTGCACTAGCTTAGAAACACTAGTCTGAGGACTGCAGTAGGTGTAAATCATAACTGGCCTTGGAGTGTCCTTTTTCCTTTGATGAGAGGACGTGTGTGGTGTGGAGACAACAGCAACCTATCCCTTTACAAAAAGTTCAAGTGCACATTTAGTGAGAGGGAAAAAATGACTTTGGGGAGATTTTGACCTGGCCAGCCTACAGGCCAGGACAAGCTGGCTTCTTGGGTCTCCCTCCTCCATGAGCCGGCACGAGGCTTCTGCGGGCAAGTGCTGCAGCCTCCTGCCAGATTTCCTGGCAGAGGGAGGCTGCCGACCACCTCTCTGGAATGCTTTTTCTAAAGCAGATTTTGCTTGAGTCACTCTGTTGTCCATGCAGCCCAGAGAGCCTGGGGTAATCCCTACGGCCTCTGGGCCAGCCAACTCATGGGTCACCAGGACCCCAGACAAGCAGGATGAGAGCCCTAACCAGTCCCAGAAGGACAGAAGAGATCCAGACTCCTCAGCCCCACAGCCCTGGTCTGGATTTGTCAGCGCCCACAGAGTAAGTCCCACTTTCCTGCCCATCAGTCCTCTCTGCCCTTGATCTGAATGCCCCTCTGTGCCGCTTCCTGACCCAGACCCCCGCAGCCCCGTTTCACGAGCCCTTCCACACCAGTGAGTGTCTCTCTGGCCTCAGAGCCTTTTCTAAGGGGTTCCCCACCCCCTACACATTGCACCCAAGGACCCTGCTTCTCTGGAGCCTTCTCAGTGACTCTGTTTCTCTTCTCTCATCTCCTGTTCCTCGGGCCCAAAGGTGGGATCCTGGGGTCCCCACACTGCCTGGCAGAACTGTCCCACCCTCATCCATGGCTGGATCCATCATCCACTCCAGGTCAGGTCCGTTCCTTGAAGACGATTCCTTGATCCCTGCATCACCCTGGTTGACTCTAACATTGGAGGGGGGGCCACCCCCTCCAGCACCTCAACCTCTCAGCCCCTCAAGTCCTCGCCCCTGACCCAGGCTTCCATCCCTCCTTGTCCACAGCCACCTCTTGGGCTGGGTCATCACCTGTAACTGCCATGCTTTCCAAAGTCACCGATTTCTGAGCCTCTCTCAGGCCGCCCCAGCTTCTTTCCACAGCCTTCATGATGACGAGCCCAGCCCAGGGTGCCGGGTCCCCAGCCCTCCCCTCACTTCCATTCCCCACTTCACATCCCAGCTCAGCCTGCTGGGATCACAGGATCCCTCACTTCACCATCACCTTCGCCTGCAACCCAAACTCTCATACTCCTGCTTCTTCATCACGAATGTCAGGAAAAGCCCACTCCTGGACAAACCCAATTAATAGTTTTCTTAGTTCTTGAAAAGCAGCCAACCATTGCTGCAGTCACTCCCCGGGGCAGACTGGGGCCCCTAGAGATCTGGAATCTTCAACTCCAAGAAGCTCCCCAGGGAACTCACTCTCCCTGATGATATTCAGGTCTTCTCGCTGTCCTCCACCTCCTGGGTGTCCTTCACCCCTACTCTGGGTGAAGACCTGGTCTC